ATACCACCGCATTGAGGGGTAGGACTTCAACCTGTGAATTGGGGGTGACCAGGGAGACGTGACAGAATTCAGTCTATAGTACTTTGCCTGTAGCTTTTACTTTTGCTTCCACCTCCTTATCCCCACCTCAGGGCTACTAAACCAGAAAAGATTCTTTGGCTATTCTAGGCTCCAGTACTGAGATGACTTGGGAGTCTCATGCTCCAGGGATCCCAGGTCATGAAGAGAAGTGAAGAGGAAAAAGGGGATAAGTCAGTCCTGGGACCTGCAATGAGTCTGTGTCCTAGCCTTAGATGGCTTTACATGCAGCTCCTATATGACAAAACCCCAGGCAATGGTAGGTACCCAGATTTCAGGCTTCTGTATCTGACCAAAGCGCTGAAAAGCCCTAACATTTCACCTGGCATCTGTCATGTGTATTCCTCTCATTGAGCAGGATCTGGGTTTCCTGCTACCACTATCTTCTGCTGAACACACGTCCAGAGTTTGGCTTCAAGTCCAATCACTGCCTTGCATTTCTGTTCCATTGCTGGTTAATAAACCATATCAACCATGCAAAAGCCATTGAATGGCTTCAAGTAGAGTTATAAAAGGATCAAATTTGTGGTAGAAAGATGACTTTGGCTGTTGGGTAAAGATGGCTGAGAAGGGGGCAAATGTAGGGCAGATTCATAAAGATGTTAGGCTTCTATGTTGGTCTCTTTCTTTTTTGTTAAATTATTTATCTTTTTATATATCATTTATTATTGTTACGCTATTGCAACTCCTCTGAATCCAAGCCTGACTTCTAAATGCCATCCTGACCAGGAGTCTCAATATTCATAATTAGAAGTTCAGTTGATTCCTGAACAATGCTGGTTTGAACTGCAAAGGCACATGTATATGTGAATTGTTTTCAACCAAATGCAGATGGAAAATAAAGTATTTATAAGATATGAAACCCACGTACACAGAGTGGGGGACTTTTCTTGTATTTGAATTCACAGGGGTGACCTCAAGACTTGAGTATTCATGAATTTTGGTATGCATGGGAGCCCTGGACCCAATCCCCTGTGTATACCAACTGTACTTCTGAAAGCATAAATGCTTGTATTAAACGACACTGTTGTTGCATTTCATGTACTATAAAGTAAAATGAAGATTTGGGATTTTTTTTCAATAAACAATGCAAACATATTCTCTAAAAATATAATTTAATTTTTGTTTATCTGTGTAATAATGGGATTATTAACATTTCTATAGTTTATACAGTGCCTGGTTCAGCGCCTGGCATACCATTTTTGAATAAAAAGATGGGTGGATACTTTTGTTTCCTTTGAATAGTAAGCAACAGATTACTAGTTACCATAACTGTCTCTCTTCTTCCTTTGACTAAAGACTGAAAATGTATCTGAAGAACAGTTTCAATTAGTTCATCAAATACTATACTAAAAGTAGGCCTATATTATAAATGAATGCAAGGTTGAAATATGATAAACAACTACCATTAATGTCATTGTCACACCAGAAAGCTGCCAGAGACACACTCCATGAGCTGCTGCCAGTTCTTTCTTTTAAAACATTGTAGCTAATTACTTACCAATACAATAAAATTTGCCTCGGAAACAAAATGCGCCCCCAAAAGTTTACTTAATACCACACTTCATTTAAATGACTTCCCCAAGGTCTTATAAAAATAACAGAGAAAATAGCAATTCAGATACATTAAGCTAGAACTTGAGGCTTGCAAAAATCGTAAACACTCAACTAGTTACCATTCTAAAATCTTTCATTTTTCATATCTCTTATCTGGATGATGAAGCTTTGAAAGGAATTTCTGGCTGCTGGTCCTAGCAACACGGGGTTGCATAAATAAACCCAACTGCTGCAAGGTAATGAGGTGAACAGACTTTTTCCTTTGTAGGAAAGTTGGTTTATAAATATCACAGGAAAGAAAACGGAATTCTTTTCTAACTTCTAAAAAAGAAACCAAAACTCCGTGGTAGTCTGGCATTGTATGTTTACATATAGGCTTAATATAAAAAACTTGAGTTCAGTTGGCAGAAACTTAGAAAATGCTCCCCAGACGACACTTGAGAGTTTAGCAAATATTTATTTCTTTTTCATCGAAGTTGAGCCAAATAGAGATTGTACATAATGGTACAGACAAATTATGTAGTGCGTAGTAGCAGATCCACGTTATAGTCAAAGAGACACACCATAAATGAGCCCTGCAGCTTGCCACCAGATGATAATAAGTCTCACGGCTTAGAATCAGTGAAAAGAAAGAATATGGCACACACTGTTATGAACCCAGCCAAGCAAATAAAAGGATACCATACAGAAAAGAGCACTCCCATATAGTGCTCTAGCTTATAACTAAGCCATTTAAACACAAGCAGAACACAATCAATTTATAATGAAAGCCAAAATATAAAGCTATCCTTCCAAGAAAACAAAAATAAACATACCAGCTTAAATAGCACTGCTACAATCAGCTGAGTGTTTGTGGAAAATCTATTATTTATATCTGATTCAAATGCAACAGTTGTTGGCCTGAAAAATGAGTCCTTCTTTAAAATGGAACTCGGCGTAATGCTCTGCTGTAAGAAAAAGAATATGGGCTTCTTGAGTGTCGCATTTTCTCCTGGAAACAAAATATTTATACAATACTGAGTATTTTTCTTAAGATATTTATTAGGCTACAGATGTCACAGGTCAATTCATTTTTAAGGACAACAGCTGCTGTGTTTGTTTCATGCTTAACACCAACACTCAGAATGATTTATTATATTTTACAAATTTTACAAATGTTCATAATTACTAGGAAGATTTACAAAACCCTAAAACCTACACCAAATATTGAACACTCATTACAAACATTCTAAGTATTTAATTTTAGTTAGAAAAAAACTCTAAAATATGTATGGAATTGCCACTGACTAAACAGGCAAAGACTTTCTGTTCCCTTTTTTCTACAGCTCTTATTAGTGTTTATCCTTTAATCCCTGTTTCTTCAAGTTGATAGTTTTGCACTGAAATATTCAGTAATTCACACAAAAGAAAAAAAATTAACAATGTAGAATTATAGACCTGGAAGAGACCTCACAAATCACGAAGTAAAATCTTTCTTGTTAACAAATCTGGATCTATTTCTCAATGGGTGACATTGTGCTGAAGGAGCAAGTGAATGGGCATTGTTTTATGTCAAAACTCTTTCCATCCACAGGTCTTCTCCTGTAACAAAGATAAAAGAGGTCTAAAGAAGCAGAAGACTGGCCCTAGATGGAGGTGCCCCTTAGAAATTAGGATGAGTGGTTATGAGTTTTGCTCAATGTTAGAGAGCATGGTTTCTCTCCTTCTGCGAGAAAGAGAAAAATAGGGAAAATTTGGTGAGATCAAAGGTGAACTCTTAATTCCTCCAAGTCTTGCAGGTGTCTAAGCATGTGCCCTCCTTGAGTTCAGAGAAGATCCATCCATTTCTAATTTTCTAAGCCTGGGCGTTTCTCAAAAGAGATTCTGAATTTGAATGAATTCTAACCTCAGACAGAACAAAAGACTAGGGACATATTTTTGTGGTATGTTTTAGATTTTCAAGAAGGACAAAACAGCATAGATTGATATATTTGTATTTTGATAGGGTAGTGAAGATTTATTTTATAGTATGTGAGTTGTGTGTGTGTGTGTGTGTGTGCACGCATGTGTTGGGAGAGAGGGAGAAACTGAAAAAATGGTGGGACATGAAACATACCCTTGGAAACTGATTTCTCTCTTCTTCATCTTTCTCTCTCCCTCCCTCTACTTTCCCAGTTCTCTTCAGTATTGCCATAAACAGGCAGGAAGCAAGATTATATATATATGTACATATATATGTACATATGTGTATAATTATATATAAAATTTAGTGGTCTCCCTAAATTGTGGACCTGGGCCCTCAAAGTTTTCTTATCAGTTTTCTTTCAAATTAGCATTGTATAAACTTTCTTTGGGTTTGATTTATTTTCCTATAATCAATTTTAGCATTTTATTTAAAATGTTTCCTTTCTGGTTAATAATCAGTTTATTTTAATCAAATGGCTGTTCAGTGCATGTACGTATGACTTGTGTCATAGAAAAGCTATTTTCCTCTGTCTATTGCTTCTGTTACCAAATGTTTAGTTTACAAGTTACACCATTGTTATCATTATTAACAACTTGTCTGTGTTATTGTGATTAAAATGATAACTATTTATGTCTCACTTGCCTTACTTTTTAAATTTAAAATTCACATACAGGAGAAAATCCTGCTTTCTTTCTTGTGTGTTAATGAAAGACTACTTTCAATAAAGTGTACTTAATTGACTTAATTGTTTAGACATAAACTTTGTAAGGCCCCTGCGATCTGTGTTTATGGTTCTATTTCTCCAAATTGAGCAGGCTTTTACTGAATATAGTTTTTAAAATTATATTTCAATACATAGTCTTTTCAGTTATTATTTAATGGCAGTAATGACCTCCAGTGGATTTTTAGGTAAATAGCAAGTGGAATTTTCAGAGGATGTCAATTTTCAGGATATTTGCATTTCTTAGACCTTTTGAAACATAGTGACTTATCTGAACAAGCAAATTTTTCTTAAAATATTTATGTATTTGTTAATTTTACAATGAAATTGCAAGTGATTATGAGTTATCAGCGCTTTAATTGAAATCTATAACCTATAAGCTAACTTTGAAAACTGAAACAAACACAATGTAAGATTAATATCTAAATAAATGTTCACAATGGTTTCCCTGTGTAATCCACTTGCTTTTAATTTTTATTTAGATGAAAACATCTTATAAAAATTTCATATTTGAGAAAAGTAATTGCTAAATATTTAATAGGAGAAGGAAAGACTTTGATAAATAAACATTCTCAAAAATACAATTGTTTTTATAATATTTAAGAGGGAGGTAAAAATGCTCTGAATATCTCAGTAGTTAAGTGAACTCCTGAAACAATTTCCTGTCTCTTAATATAAAATAGAGAAGAACATTTGGTATTTGAGAGCAAATCACTTTAATACTTTTTCACAAATAAAGCATGGTTGTTATAATATATTTTAGATTTCAGCGAAGATTAGTTGGAAACTTAAACTTTGGGGCTTTAATAGATCTTCAGTGCCGCAAAATCTCCATTTTTGACCTGTGAGACAATAAATTATCTATAAACAATACTTTCATATTAAAGTATGACATAAGGATTAATGTGTTTTTTATTTCAGTTATTTGTTTCTGCAAATGAACTTCATGTATCGATGTATCTACTGATAATCTGCTTTCAAATCTTTCCTAAACAGATACCCATCTGTAGAGAAAAAAGAAATGTGTGAGAATATACTTTTTCTTACCACAAGAGAGCAGCAAAAATCTTTTACAGTAGTTAGAATTCTAACTATAACTTCATCTGATTTGACATTCTTTGATATCTTTCTGAGAAGTTACCTTAGTTTTTCTTTCCACAGTGAGTGAAATTTAAAGACTGTGTTATAAAGCAAAAATATTGTGAGTATGCTTTAATGAATATTTTACGAAGGGCACAAGCCTCAGAACGACCACATTTTTCCTTTCATGGGTTACAGCAGTCACAACACACCTGCTACTTAACACTCATGACTTAAACAACACTAATAAAAAAAATCCTTAAAGAGTACAGAAAGTTCACATGAGAATGACAAAGTATCTTGTATTCTGCATATCTTACAATGTGGTGGAAAAGAAAAATTCTGAAATATTAAAACGTATTTAGTTTTTATATTTACCATGATTATAAAATTCTCCAATTTTTTCTTCAATATTCTAATACTCTTAAGTCTTCCAAAACTAAAATAATAATCTTCACGGAAAAGCAGCCAAGTACTGAAAATTACAGCTATATTGTTTTTTGATAAACATAATGAGAAACCATTAAGCAATGCATTTATTTAAAAAATTAGTTAATTTTATGTGAAATTTATCCAGTCAAATGAGTATGTAGAATAATTTATTATAACACCTTCATAGTCATTCCTGTATTACAGAAATCTCTTTTAAGTAATGCAAAGAAGTTGGATGATTTATTTTTTACATTCCAAATATAAATTCTTCAAAAGACAGTAGATAGTCTCACCCCATCAGGAGTCCAGCGTGTGCCTGGGCAGGCGGTAATGCTCAGGTTTGGAACGGAGCTTCTTTTCCTGAGGGTTGGCATACTTCCACTTGGAGGGGGACATTTTAAGCTTTTTCCTCTTCCTATCTGTGCACCATACTTTCTCGCAGTATTCTTCCACTCTCTGGAAGTTGCTGTAACCGATCAGTTGCAAGAATTCCTTGTACCATGGTTTTGCTCCCTGTGAGACGCTACTCTGGGCAGGACAAGGCATCCTGTGATGCTTGTCCTCCTCATCGTCCTTGTTAAACATATCATCGACTTTCTCCTCTTCCACTACCTCCAGGGTGATTTTACGGACAGTATGGACAAAGCTATGCTCTACTGTCTGGCAAAAATAGGTCCCAGCATCTGATTTGTGTAACCTTAGGAAGAGTAAACCAAGGTCCATCTTAACCACTCTGTCATTTGTCTTCACCTGCAAGAACAAAAAAGGAAATGGCACTGAAGTACACAGGAGAGAAAACAACAATCCATCACCCTTTCCACTATCTATCTTGAGTTTCTTCATTTTCACTGTCACATAATGAAACCCTGAAAATCATACATACACAAAGATGCTAAATAATTACATCTGTGTGTGTGTGTGTGTGTGTGTGTGTGTGTGTGTATTCTGAAGATATTTACATTGGTGGTCACTTCGTATCAATGACCTCAAGATCATTTTATATCAATATTGTAAAGTAAAAGGGCTTTCTCCCTAATGATTCAATTAATCATTAGAAAAAATACATTTCAGTATAGCAGTCACAGTAAGAGCGAAAGGAAAATTCCTAAAATTTATTTTTTAACATTTGTTTTTCCATGCACAGAACAAATACCACTTCCCATATTCTTTCAGGAATTATTATGCCCTCCAGAGTGTAGTGGCCACTGTTTCTACAAGGACCTCTCTTTAGAGAACTGGACTCCTTTCACTTTGTCTTCTTACAAAAAAATTCATCAGTTAATCAATTCAGTGAACATCCCTTACATTTTCATAGGCTGTCCTTTACAGGAGATTAAAAAATAAACAAGTAAAATCCAGTTCCTGCTCTAAAGGATCAGATAGTCTAGCAAATATTAAGTTTTAATATACTTTCAGTGCTCAAATGTCTTTTGTTATGTTTTTGATATAATAAATTACTCACATTATTTCTATAAATAAATAAGTATAATTCAGAGTAAGAAGAGCAAGGTAAGGCTTTCAACGAATAGCTCATGTTTTATCACAAATAGCTGGACTAGTGAGTAAATGATCTGACATTCGGCAGAGTTAGAGTCAAATGTTGGCACCACTATTTATTGTGTGATTTAGGGCATTCCATGTATATTTCTTGCCTTAGTTTTCTTTGTAAAATGGAGATAACTTAATAATTTGAAAAATAGTTGTGAAGATTAAATAAAATAGGTGAGGAGTTTTTGCACAGTGCTATCAATATCTACCTCTACCTTTCTTCTATGCATTCATCTAACTACAAACAGTCATGTTTTCGTATGGCCCAGGATCTTCTGATAATGGTATAAAGGTGGTTCACAGTATGCTGACAGATTTCACCCTTGAGAATACAAAAATGAAAGCAATATTCATCTTTTTCAGTATAAAAGAAATGTAGAGGCAATAATTACAAACACTTTGGCAATAAAGGCTGTTAATGATAAGCACGTTTTTGTCCCCGTGATAGGTCCTGGCCAGGAATGCCAGACTCAGTTCTTCCCTGCCTTGATCAGACCCGGCATACATGAAGTTTCAAAGTGATTACTCAGGTGTGGAAACTGGCATCCACAAACCACAATTTGTGGAACAGATGGCAAAATGTAGTAGTATAGTACAGTAAGAAATAGGCATGTCATTTTTAAATTATGTGGCATCCCAAAGGCATTTGTTTCAGCCATGTAAAGTAAGTTAATTACCCAGAAGCTTCAGAGTGTCCTAGTTGGGCTAATAAAAGAAGCTCCATAAGTCTTTTGTAGGTGCTTCCCTTGACTTGGCAGGACCATGTCCTGGTAGGCAGAATGCTGTAGCCATTAACTCGAGAGCAAAATCCTCCAGTGAGGAACCAAGAAGACCCTCAAAGCAAAACCATCTTCATTATATACAAACAATCTGTTTTATTGATAGGTTTTTCTCAGAATATCCTTAGCAACTGTTACAGGCAACTAACTCTTACAGGACTTTGTGTACTTCTGCTTATTTACTCATGCCTCCAGGCCAGGCTTCTGGACAAACTTATTTTCCAGCACTAGTGTTCTCCATAACTTTACCATCTATTGCAACCTGTGACCAACCTGTGTCTCACATGATACTGACTCTGAAGTAAGCCTCCATTGTTTTAAAACTTATGGCTGCATTTGATATGGATGAAACCTGCCTCCTTAAACATCTTTTATTTTCTGTGTGGTATGGGCCATTATACTGTCCTTATTTTCTTTACTCTTTCTTGGTTTCTTCTACAGATTTCTCATTGCCTCAAGGTGCAATCCTCCATCCTTCACTGATCTCACGTTTTATTTCCATCCATTCGATAGCACTTTTATTTCTTTGTTTCAGCCAGCTTCCCTAAAATGGTACATCTTACACATAGATAATCCATTGTTTTGTCTTTTCTGTTAGTTAAAAACAAAACAAAAAAAACAATGGATTTGGTGTTTTTGACTAAAAGAAACATATATCATCCTTTAATATGTAAAATTCAGTATCTTCCCACTCAAACTGCCCTCCATTTACTAACTTCCCTATTTCCAGCCATGACATCATTATTGTTCTAGTCTCCCTATCCTCAATTGTTGATCATTTATACTTCTCTCTTATTATATGCTATCACAAATTCCTGTCTACATTTCTTCAGTGGTGAGCCTTAAAACATCCCTTCCTCATCACCATTTTTGCTGCAGTGTTAAATTCTCATACCTTATAACTGTTTCTTTGACTTTATCTCATGCCAAACTCCCCAGATCTTCCCTTTTTTTCTGTTTCTTCTTTCATACCCAGATTGATTCTGTTTCAGGATCTCTGTGTGTATCTCTGCTTCGAGACGCTTCTTTAAAGCTGGTTACTTCTCATCCTGCATAACTGAATTAAGTATCATCTTCCCAAACTGGCCTTTCTCACACCCCTGTAAAAGTGTCCTCTCTCCTTTATTACCATCATTTTGCCTGTTAACCTTCATACACTTGAGCATGCAACATTACACTCAAGTATCTAACAATAGACCTTCAAGTAAATTTCTTGGATCATTTTTCCCCACTTATTTCAACAAATGGATACTCATTTACTCTTCTTTAAAGCTCACTTTCTTTTGTCAACATCCTGATTTAGAACTTATTCAGATCTCTGTTTCTTGCCTGAGCAGTAAGAATTGCTCCATTAACCAGATCCTGCCTTTCTAAATCTAGATCCCAAAATTGCTTAATGTAGTGTTTCTCAAACTAGGGTTGGTGGAAGAGGTGCATTTCTGGAGATCTGGAGATCAACTTTTTTTTAAATAAGGATTTTTAAAATTATTGTGTTTATTGACACAAAAATCAACATAAATTAATAAACTATATTTGGAATCATGTGAAAGATCAATCTCAGTGTTAGTGTTTATGTTTATCATAGATTCTGAGCCGCTTTCAAGGCCGTGTTTCCAAATGATAAAAAGAACCAAGATGGGTATAATATGTTAATGACAAGTTACAGCCAAATGAAAATGAAACAACATCCCCATGTAGTAATACACATGAAAAGGTTCAAGGTCACTTGAATAAAGTGTTGGGAGGATGGAGTCATCACATGGTATAGCTACGGGCAGAAAGTGTTATACATACACATATGTGGCAATCTGTGTCTCATCTTACAGTCATAGAGATACATATTTCAGTAAAAACAAAACGCATAGTAAATAAACATTTTAATGATGCATCAATTGTTTATAATTTATCTTTAAATTAATTTTGGCTCAATATTTTAATAAAAGCTACAAGCATAAGGAAAGTATGTGTTGTTTTATTCTTGTGAATATTTAATGAACATTTTAATATAAATCGTGCCAGCAGCCCAGGAAGATGTTTCACTTTTAAGGGCAGGTGGTGGGGGCAACCTGTACATTACTAGAATCAAACCCTCCTTTTCGTAATGCTTTCTGCTGTCATCCCCTGCATCGCCACCCTGCTTTCCACTCTCAGCTCTTATTCTGAACATACTCTTTTTCCCTTAAATAAACTCCTTTCTACTGTCTACCAACCCATTTGTTTTTTCATTTCCTTCCAGGCTTAACTAAACTTTCCCTTCCTTTATAAATGCTTCCTTTATAGCCCCTGAAGGTGTTTTGCTTCTTTTTGTAACACAATAGCATTTACATTTGTAGCTCAAAAGCTGTTATTTATATTCCTTTTCAAATTATTTTTCCATGCAAGTTTCGTCTCTCCAAACATGTTTTTAAGTGGCAAAGACCTATTTCTTTATTCTTCTGAATTATTCTATAATGAGTAAAGAATTCAGAAGATAGTGTAAAATGAGAACACACTAATTCATTTATAGAGCACAAACATGTATAGCAATGGGGTATACCCATACAGATATATCCAAAAGATATTAACAACTTCCAGGTAAATCCAATAATAATTTGAATAAGAAGGAGCAAACATGGTTTCAGGAGCACTTAGTAACTGATGAGAGTGCTACATCACAGATATTCTTAGGACATTGCCTTTACCTGAAAAAAAAAATGCATACAAACGTCCTTATTGAATGTGATCCTTTGTTGTCTCTATTATATCTCCTGTGAGACTGAATAATACATGAGAAAATATGAAAGTGATCTAGCCTAGTTTCCAGGTTATGGAAAGCAGTTTATGAAAGTAATTAGAAACAAAGCAAAAAGCAAAATTAAAAATAAATACAAATTCTTGACCACTAAAATTATGGTTGGTTGTTTGTTGCTTGTTTTTTCAAATTTGGTATTTTTTAAAAGCAGGGTATAAAAAGAATAATAAGAAATCCAAGTTTGAGAAACACTGCATTATGTACATATAAAGTCTAGACTGGTCAAGATTCAAGATATGAAATCACGACAATTACCATAGAAACTGTCCTACATTGTTTATTTGCATGTTAGAGATACTGCCTCTCAGAATTTTGATCCACACTCTTGGTTATGACAAATCCACATTACAAAGACAGGAATATAGGCTGTTTCATGCTCTGTCTGGAGGGCCATACATTATGTAGGTTAAATCACCTAGAAAGTTAAATGTATCTTACATGGACTATAAATACCTAAAAATATAAAACGACTTAGAAATTTGTATCTGAAGTTCTTCCACAATTTAGTCTTTCCATTGTCAGTTTACTTGGGTACCTCCAACATCCAATCTTGATTACAGAATTGTTTTCATCCATCTGTGTTTTTTCCTATGTCTGCAGACCAGATTTTCTCCACCAAGAAGACAGTACAT